GAGCTGCTTCGCGGCGGTGCTTCCTATCCTCAAATCGTTGGTGTGGCCTTCCTTGGCTTCGGTGATATCCCTTGTGGTCCTGAACTTCTCTAAAAGGCTTAGGATGTATGTTTCACAGCTTCAGATTTTGTCCGTATCTTGAAATACGGCGTAAGCCTTATGTGTGGGATACAGAATTCGCGCGTGGCCTCGTAAAACTTTCTGACTTCCCCGTCGAGTAAGAATGCGGGTGTGTTCCAGTCCTTTCTCCAACGACATTGCAAGGGTAAAGTGATAGATTCCTTTCGACATCAGTAAACACCTGATTCGACTTTGAACTCGTGGTACCTGAGCAATGTCTCTTCGCACAGATCTCTCAATATGTCCACTGCTTTGGGCCACTGTTGGTGATCTCGAGGAGTTCCTAGAACAAACAACTCGACTCCATCGGATATCATTCCGAGCATCAACTGCCACGCTCGAGCCCACGCTGCAGTATCGAACGCCTTTGAAGGGCTGAATAGCACGACAGCGGAAAACTCGTCTTGACACCAGCTTTCCTGAATATCGTCCGGTTTGGAGTAAATCCTGACTAGTTGAGAATGCGACTGGATCGAACAAACGTGCTCTTTGAAGTCCCGCGGCAGCAACATCAGAGTCTTTTTCGGTGGGAGGTCTTTCCACAGCGTTTCTGTCCATGGATGGGCTTGCGCCCAGCTGCACGCGTAATCGAAGAGACTTCGAGAGATCGTATAGGTCGTCCTGCGTGCGACACGGGTGCGCCTCCAGTCCATGGTGCCCTGCCGAGTATCTCGTTTGTATGCCCTGCATCACGTGTAAACATTTAGCTGAGAAAAATGATATGGCGAATCCTAGTCCAGTCGGGGACAGGGGTCGATAATTCGAGCCATTCGCATCTCCGGAGAAGTGTGCGTCTGCGACATGATAGTGGCCACACGGGCGAGCTTGTAGACGCAGTCGAAGGTCAGATTGTCCACTGGTGAATTCCTCGAGCCGGAGATTTCACAGCCATGTCAATATTACAAGCACAGCGCACGTCTTCTGACATCTAGCGATCTCTGACAAATGAATCGACGTGAGCGGTTCGTGATGCCGCAATCGATGGCTGTCCTGAAACGAATGATTACGGATCTCCATTGCACAATTTGTCACATTAAAATTTTGCGACCGTGACTCGTCCACGGAGGCCTTTAGTCCTCAGAGGGGTATCGGGAATCGCGGGTGGTACCTTTATCAGGTGATCCCTATGAAGGTTTATATACCTTTATTGACGAGACGGGGTGGTCTCGTTGTAGTTGCGAAAATGGAATCACATAATGATTGTAGACGGTGGGTCTCTTAGGTATCGAGACGGGGTGGTCTCGGTGGTGGACATGGTAGAATGCTAACTTAATCTAGGCGTGCCTCTCAATACAGCAGAGAGGTCACACATCGAGTATCTAACTATTTACCTATGGGTCATAATCACATGTCTCAATGTTCCCTATGGGTTATACATATCAATCACTCAGTCTTAAAAGGATGCACCGGTAGGTTCTGGTGGCAATCCAGAGAAAATGTGACGGTAGTCGTTGTCGTAATATGTTTATTGAGGCGGGGTGGCCTCGGTGATAGTGGTGGGTCCGAGACGGGGTGGTCTCGGACCGTCAGGTAGTAGAATGCTGACTTAATCTAGGCGTGCCTCTCAATACAGGAGAGGTCACGCATCGAGTATCTAACTATTTACCTATGGGTCATAATCACATGTCTCAAGTTTGCCTATGGTTATACATATCAATCAGTCAGTCATAAAAGGGTGCACCGGCAGGTTCTGGTTTTTTGCCCCGCGGAGTGTTCTGGCAGAAGAACACTCCGCGGGGCAAAGGGGATGAATGGTCAACACAGGATAATGTGAAGCTACATGGCAATGACAGGACAAAGAGAGAGGTATGGGTGACATCGTAGGTCCTAATGAATTTAGTAAAAGTGGTCTGAGGTGTTGTTCGTCCTGGATGGTGCTCTTGTGGCTTGTGGGCGCTGGTGGCGGTTGGTGGATGTTGTTGAGGCAGTCATCTCTTTCGCATCGGGATGATGAAGGTGAAAAATGTATTGGTTATTTTTATGATATGCTCTGGTAAAGTCGTGATAAATTAGAGTAGGTCATACCGAGTTTTCTGAATCGCTGCAAGAGTAAGCGGCCTCAGCGTTGTAGAAGTAGTTCAGGTGATTCACTCAGCATGTGGAGAGATGAGCGGTGAAATGATAGAATGACAAATTAACTAATACGCCAACGTTTGCTTCTGTACAGCATTTATCGTTTGAGGACTAGATGCAAGGAAATATTCAAGAACTGCCCTCGAAATAAGACCGTGACTGAGTATAAATATTGAAATAACTAGAAATAAATGATAAATCCTAGTATCCATCTACTGCACTTGTCTGGAGGGAGTCGATCACTTATAGTGAAAGGTGAATAACGCATATTTCTTATCATATATATGGAAGCGAAAAATAAACTATTATCTTTTGCTGGACTGCGATTTATGCACAGACTAGCGAGCTGATTACTCTGTGTTCGACTTATGTTGCTTTGTTTTTGCTCTTTGTTGTTGAGCTTTCACAAGATATGGCTTAGTGAAGCTACCCCACCATGGAAAACTGTTTCGTTGGGGCTTACTGGATTGGGCTGTTTAGTTTTCCAAGCTCATGGGGCTTTTCAGTAGGATGAGGCACTAAGTGAAGACAGTTACCCTCACCATTTTTGTTTTGCTCATGTCCGCTTGCACAACGAGACATTTTTTCGAGCTTTTTTTTTGACGTCGCATATGTTCTCAACACCTACAGTGATGTCTTCTGCAGGGCATGGTTCTTTATCCTCTATGATGGAGGGAATAGTTACTGAAATGCCTACTTGAGGACTCCTAGGAGCGGTGTTTTCTCCCGCATTTCCTGGTTGGTCCATGCCTAGATTTTCCGGCACTTTCTCAAATTCGACAGGCGATTTATCGCTTTCTGAAAGTCACCGAATTTTGGGTGATTAAGGCCGAAGTCGGACTTCGTTTTGCCGACGCAGGTCCCCCTCTACACTTTTCCGTAGAAAATAGGTCCCCACTGCTACTCTTTTGAGATCTAGAGCGGTGAACAAGGTAGGGTTCAAGTATTTTAGCCCTAGCTGGTGGTGTTCTTATTGCGAACTTGTGTTTCCACAATTTCGAATTCGATCTCACAGATTGGTGTGGACGATTCTTCCAGAGAACTGGAGTATTTTGACTCCTTTTCAAGCTCCTCAACTTCGTCTATGAACTCTTTACGTTCTTCCCGTGTTTCTAATGTTAGAAATATTCTTTCTAAGGAGTTGACTTTCTCTCGCCTTCTAATATGAATAAGGTGAAAGTTTAACCACTTAAGATTCGCAAATAGCTTATCTACCTTTCTTCGTGGTCTTCTGGATATGATATACTTTGGCTAAATGCCTCATAGCTCTTTAGGTATTCTATTGCCCTTTCAGAGCACATAGTAATCCCTTTTTCAATAAATATAGGGACATGTTCGCTTCTTCTTATGAAGCTTGCTTTTATGGTTTAATAGAGCTTGTATTCGCTCCTCAGTTACTCACGAATTAATGTTGTTAGCCGGGGTGGGCCAATATAAGCAATCAAATGGTGTAAATATAATGAACTCAAGATTGCAAAAGGAAAATAGAATAATAAAATGGAATTTTTATTAATACCTGCACTGGGTTTTTCCCGGCCGTTTGCACCAGAAATATGAAGGTTTATATACCTTTATTGACGAGACGGGGTGGTCTCGTTGTAGTTGCGATGGAATACAATGTAGTTGAGACGGGGTGGTCTCTAGGTAGTCCGAGACGGGGTGGTCTCGGTGGTGGACATGGTAGAATGCTAACTTAATCTAGGCGTGCCTCTCAATACAGGAGAGGTCACGCATCGAGTATCTAACTATTTACCTATGGGTCATAATCACATGTCTCAATGTTCCCTATGGGTTATACATATCAATCACTCAGTCTTAAAAGGATGCACCGGCAGGTTCTGGTGGCAATCCAGAAATCCCATTGTACCCTTATTGGCTCCTTATTTTGCCCTATTA